CTGCATCAAGGAGTATAGATTGTGTGTGTGTGTGTGTGTGTGTGCGTGTGTGTGTGTGTGTGTTTTAACAGAAAATGATCTGATTATAATACCACACATTCTAAAGCTTGGGACATTTGAAAATGCTTTCAACTCAGGGTAGGGTTATTCACTGAAAATTTTACAGACAATACTCCTCCAAACATAGTAGTCAGGCTTGGCCACAAAGTATACCCCTCTGGGCATCACGGAGTGTGAGGCATGCTCTAGTGTAGTGATTCTCAGCATGGATTCCTCCGATTGGCAGCATCAGTATCACTGGGGAATTTATCAGAAATGCACATTCTTGGGCCCTGGGGAACTTATCAGAAATGCACATTCTTGGGTCCTTCCCCAGACCTATTGAATCAGAAACTCTGGGGCTGGACTCAGCAATCTGATTTTTTCTTTTCTTTTGTTTTTGTTTTTTTTTTTTTTCATTTGGATTTCATTTATTTTTCACTTTTTCTGGTCTTGGCTCTCATCTAAGATATCACGTTTAGTCCTCATGTCTCCTAGGCAGGCTGTGACAGCTTCTCTGCCTTTCCTTGTTTTTTATGACCTTGAGAGTTCTGGAGATTGTTTTTATTTTTAATAGAGGTGTAGTTTACATATATTGAAATGCAAAGATCTCTACTTATAGTTGTAAGAGTTTCAACTGCAATCAATATTTTAACAAGACCTCTAACATATCCTGATACACACTAAAGTTAGAGAACCACTATTTTCGGGTTCTCAGAATTTTCTCCATTTTTTTGAAGACAGCAAATCAAGGAATATCTTGAATGCTGATTATGGAACATTAACACATAAAAATTTTTCATGTGATAATTTTCATTATCATATGAAAAGTTGTGTAAACAACTTGCCAGACAAGTGTCTCAACCTGTTTCTGTTAATATGACAATAAACAATAATGCTAATGATAGCTAACCTTCATTGTGCACTTATATATCAGGAACCTTACCACTTTCTTTACATATACAGGCATACCTCATTTAATTGTGCTTCACAGATGCATGTTTTTCAAAAGCCTGTGTTGAGCAAATCTATCAGTGCCATTTTCCCAACAGCGTGAGTCTACCTTTTTATCTCTGTCACATTTTTGTAATACTTCAATAAGTCAAACTTTTTCATTATTAGTGTATCTGTTACGGTGATCTGTGAGATCTGTGATCTTTGATGTTACTATTGTAATTGTTTTGGGGTGCTATGAACCATGCCCACATAAGATGGTGAACTTGCTTCATAAATGTTCTATGTGTTCTGACTGCTTCACTAATTGGTAGTTCCCTGTCTCTTTCCCTTTCCTCAGGCTTCTATATTCCTTGAGTCACAACAGTATTGAAATGAGTCCAGTTATTAACCCTTCAAAGGCCTCTTAGTGTTCAAGTGAAAGGAAGAGTTGTGCATCTCACTTTAAATCATAAACTAGAAATGATTAAGCTTAGTAAGGAAGGCATAAGCAGAGATAGACTGAAAGCTAGGTTTCTTGTGCCAGTTAGCCAAGTTGTAAATGTAAAGGAAAAGTGCTTGAAGGAAATTAACAGTGATACTACAGTGAACACACAAATGATAAGAAAGCAAAATAGCCTTTATTGCTGATATGGAGAAAATTTTAATGGTCTGGATAGATCAAACCAGCCACAATGTTCCCTCAAGCCAAAGCATAATCCAGAACAAGGCCATAACTCTCTTCAGTTCTATGGAGGCTGAGAGAGGTGAGGAAGCTGCAGAAAAAAAGTAGAAAGTTTGCAGAAGTTGGCTCATGAAGTTTTAGAAAAGAAGCTGTCTCTATAACATAAAAGTGCAAAGTGAAGCAGCAAGTGCTGATGTAGAAGCTGCAGAAAGTTATCCAGAAGATCTAACCTAGTAGTATTGATGAAGGTGGCTACACTAAACAACACATTTTCAATGTAGACAAAGTTGCTTTATATTGAAAGATGCCTAGGAGAAATATCTAAGAGTTTCATAGTTAGAGAGGGGAAGTCAATAACTGGCTTCAAAGCTCCAAAGGACAGGCAGATTCTCTTGTGAGGGAGTCTGGTGACTTTAAATTGAAGCCGGTGCCCATTGGCCATTTCAAAAACCCCAGGGCCCCTAAGAATTATACTAAATCCACCCTGCCTATGCTCTATAAATGAAACAACAAATCCTGGATGACAATGCATCCAGCATGGTTTACTCAATGTTTTAAGACTTCCATTGAAAACTACTCTTCAGAAAATATTTATTTCAAAATATTACTGGTTATTGACAATGTACCCAGTCACCCAAGAGCTCTATTACAGATGTACAAGGCAATGAATGTTGCTTTTCTTTGCTAACACAACATCCGTTCTACAGCCCATAAATTAAGGAGTAATTTTGACTTTCAAGTCTTATTATTTAGGAAATCATTTTGTAAGGCTATAGCTGCCACACATAGTGATTCCTATGATGGATCTGGGCAAAGTAAATCAAAAATCTTCCGGAAAGGATTCACCATTCTAGATGTCATTTAAAACATTCATGATTCACAGGAGGAGGTCAACATGTCTGTATTAACAAGAGTTTGAAAGAAGTTAATTGAAACCTTCATGGATGACCTTGAGGAGGTGAAGACTTTAGTGGAGAAAGCAACTGAAGATATGGTGGAAATAGCAAGAGAACTAGAATTAGAATAGGGCCCGAAGATGTGACTGAATTACTGCAATCTCGTGATAAAATTTGAGCAGATGAGGAGCTGCTTCTTATGGATGAGCAAAGAAAATGGTTTTTTGAGATGGAATCTACTTCTGGTGAAGATGGTGTGATTATTGTTGAAAAGAAAACAAGTTATTTAGGATACTACATTAACTTAGTTGATGAAGCAGTGGCAGGTTTTGTGAAGATTGATTCCAATTTTGAAGGAAGTTGTGCTGTGGGTAAAATGCTATCAAACAGCATTGCATGCTACAGAGAAATCTCTTGTGAAAGAAAATGTCAGAGATGCAGCAGACTTAATTGTTGTCTTGTTTTAAGAAATTGCCACAGCCACCCCAATCTTCAGCAGCCACCACCTTGATGAGTCAGCAGTCATCAACATCGAGGCAAAGCCTTTCACCAACAAAAGGATTATGACTCAATGAGTGCTCAGATGATCATGAACATTTTTTAGTAACAAAATATTTTTAAATTAAGGATATATATATGGAGGAAATGTATTTACATAATATATCCTCTTTCTATATAATATATAAATTACATATAATATCCTCTATATAATACAAATTGTATATAATATATAATATATATCCTCCATAAATATATCCTTATGTATATAATATATCCTCCATATATATGTCTATATATATATATATATGAAGGATGTATCATGTACATATTAGAGATAATGTTATTTTATGCTGTAGGGTAAATGCACCTGAAAGCAATACCTTAAGTATACTTTTAGAATGATCCTGTATGATAGACACACCTGAATGTGTGCTCTGAGCAAGGGAATCCAGGAGTGGCCAACCCAGAGATTCATTGCTCATTGACTATGAGGAACATCTGAGCCTCTGGCCTTTCCCATGGAATATAGACTGTACAGGGAATCATGGCGCTGAGTTTTGGGATAAACGAAGGTTGCTGGATGAAGGTCATTAAGAGGAGCGTGTTAAGTGAAAATGGCATATAAACTGTATGCTGTTAATAAGGGGTTGCAGTTTTCCTTCCCAGCCCACTGCCACTGGACCATGCAGATATGTTGTCTAGCCTGCTGCCACTGGACTTTAGGTAAGGCAGGTATCTTGTCTAGCCCACTGCCACTGAAATGTTTCTGTAAGATTGTTTTCCTTTCTAGACTGGCACCACTATACTCTCTCCCTTGTATGTAGGCTCCTAATAAAAAATCTCACAATTTCTTTGCTGGCTCTGGGTCTCTTCTTCAGTCCCTTAAACCTGGTGTCTTCCCTATTGAGGTTAACAGGGGTTCGGCACAATACCCTCTTAATAGACTGTAGTATAGTGTCAACATAACTTTTATATGCACTGGGAAACAAACCTAAGAAACTTGTGTGACTTGCTTTATTGTGATATTCACTTGATTGCAATGGTCTGGAACCAAATTTGCAGTTATCTTGAAGGTATACCTGTATTACCTCCATGTTGAAAGTTGGTAGTGTAAAATTTGTTTTGGTTTCAATGTCTCCTTGGAATGAGTTTTCAATACCTTGGTAACCAGTCCTGGAAATAGTGTCTCAGTATCCTCATCTGAGAGTCTAGACCCCCTGTAGTGCATCTCACGTATTTGTGGGATGTATTTTCAAGGGGCAATTTGTGGCCCCTTTTATTCTCTCAGAAGAGATAATATCCTTTGAAAGAACTAGTGGAAAAGGAGAAACTTTTGAGAAGAGGAAAGGAATGGAAAATCCTTGAAGTAATTCCATGATTTGCCTCTTATTGCTTAAGCACATCTAACCCAGGTGGAATGATGGTGCAATTTGCAAGCCATCTGTTTTTAATATGGTAATTTGAAGCTAATAAAAATAATGTGATACTGTGGAGAAGGAATCATATGTTATTTGGTGGTGGTTGTCTTTCTGAGCACTTGAAAAAGTATTAGAGAGGTTCTACTGTAGTAATTCCAAACACCAATTCATAGCGGACAGCTGGGCACCTTAAGAATTCCCAGAGAGCTTGCTGAAAGTAGAATTTTCTGTGTTCAGCCCCTTGAGATTCTAAGTCAGTAGATCTGGAGTGGAGCCCAGGAATTCATGTTATATAAAAAGGCTTTTCAGTTAGGTTGGAATACTCTCTAAATCAAGCTCATTGGTTTACAAACTGTGTACTAATTGTTTAAGGGAAGCACCTTAAGGGCTACTGGAAATCCATCAAGTGCCTGACACTTTCATCCCTTTATATTCTAAATTTTGGTGTAAGGCTTCATTTTAAAAAAAGAATGTGTTACAATTTTTAAAAGTTATTATTTTTGTTTATCTCTTTGTTTTCATTTGTAGAGGAATTGGGACTGAAGTCTGGACCTTGTGACTTCCATGACAGTGTTTCTTCTGCCTGCACCAGAGAGCCAAGGAGACCCCAGGACCCTGGAGGTCTGAGAGCTTTCTCAGAACTGTCTAACTTTTCAGCCACAAGGTAGGTTTAAGGAGATATGATAATGTGGCCAGCTCCTCGGTGGCTTCTAACCTGTGATATTCACTTCTTAAACCCTGACCCTTTCTGAACCTGACTCATTCATTCACAGAAATCTGTTGAAGGGCCACTTTCCTCTGTTCACAGCTTTGGGTGACAGCTAGAGAGAGAATTGGTAAGGCTATGATAGACTTAGGGCTTAGAGAAGAGAACCATTAACTGTCCTGTCTTCCTCTTTTGGGGCATCTGCTTGGATCTAGTTTTGTTTCTTTTTGAGGAGCTGCACTAGGATACAGGTTTTAAGATTCCTGTTCCAGAAATAAAAATCCTATTTTATAAATCTCCAGCAGGGTCAGTTTATAGTTAAGAAATTTCAGTGTTAATTTTGGAGAACGGAAAAGCATAAATTGACAAGTACAGGTATAAAAATATAGAAAGCTGAGATTCATAAACTGGGATTCATGGTGAATCAAGAAAGAGATTGTGCCAATATATGCAGGGAACCCCTGTGACCCTACCCATCCTCCACCTAGCCACACATTTTCTGTTCCAAGTTTTCTATGTAAATATGAAGCAGGCAAAATAAAAATAATTATTATGGTCCCTCTTAACAACTGAGATACCTTTTGCTGGTATCGACATACATCCTTCTAGTAATTTGCAAAGAACTCGTTTTGTGCCCAACAGATGAACACAGAGCAATGTTATCCTCCTTGTAGAGCACTGTTTTTTTTTTTTTAAGTGAGAACATACTTTGACTTAATAAATCATTAAAATGGTGTTTTACTGAGAAAATGTTCAAAAACTTGCCCCAAACAATACCAAGTCAGGCTGTCAAGAGCTGTGCTTCTTACTTAGATAACACGTTCCATTATTATTTTAAGGGAAGGGTATTAATTGGGATTCTTCTGAGAAACAAGAAAAACCAATAAAGTGTGTGCGTGTGTGTGTGTGTGTGTGTGTAATAAGTATGTATATTTATAAGGAAATGTATTCTAAGAAATTGGCTTACATAAGTAAGGAGGCAAGTAAGTCCAAAGATCAGCAGAATGATTCAACAAGCAGGAGACCCAGGAGAGCTGATGGTGTAAGTTTCAGTGCTAAGACTGGCAGTGTCAAGACCTAGGAAGCATTGATATTTCAGTGTAAGCTCAAAGGTAGGAAAAGATCAATGTTCTGCCTCAAGACAGGCAGGCAGGAGGAGTTTTGTTGCTTCTAGGCCCCACATTAGAGCGCGCAATGTGCTTTACTCAGTCTATCAATTTAAATGTCAAACTCATTCCAAAACATCCTCATGGAAACCCCCAGAATAATGTGTGACCAAATATTTGGGCACTCCATGACCCAGTCAAGTTGATACATGAAATTAGCTATCATACGAGGACAAGACCGTAAAGAAGGATGCCGTCAGAGGAAATTCCAAGACACCTCTGTTCAATTTTCTAAGTCCTCTTTCTCACCTGTTTCCATTCCAGCCTTCTAGTTAAGTTCAGTGTCTTTGGAGCCTTTCTTAGGACCCATCCCTCTCCCCACAGAATTACAAGATGCCAGGTGCTTCTTGTGTTTTGCAGTCAGTTTCTTTAGGCTTCCCTTGGCAGATAGATAGAGCAGGTAATTCGAATTTGATCTCTCTGTTTCCTGAAGCTATAGTTTCCTTCTGCAATAATTTGAATGAAAACATAGCCTAATACCATAAAGATTAATTTTCTCTTAAATATATCTGCTGTATTCTGTGAGTGGGATGAATACCCCATTCAGTCTGTGGGAAGAGTGAATATCTCTTCTCTGGAGACTACTTTGACACTACTTGAGACTACCTTTGCAAAAATTTATAACTGAGGAAATTATGACAATGAAAGAGATCAGACCTAGCCAACTCCATCTTCCTTCTGACGTTTAAGCTGTGCTAATTCATTCCTGAGCATAGGCCGAACTAACCTTGGGAAGGAATTTAGCTTTTAGTTTAACTTTGAAACAAAATTGATAATAGCCCTTTCCCCAAAAAATCCCCTTCTTGCCTGGGGACCTGTCTGCCTTTGTAGGACTAACAAATGAGCTACAAGATTAGAAATTATGGTTTAGGGGCCATGAAGCCTCTGGCGGCAAGAATCTGAACATCTCCAAATTGTTCCTGGGAATAATATCACTATTGTAAAACCTAAAATCAGTGCTTGAGATATTTTGCAGTCGTTGCACTTGATGCACCAGCTGACACCACCCAGACTGGTAATCCAGCTCAACCAGTTCTGTGATCCCACCCAGGAACAGAATACAGCAAGAAAAACGCATCTTGATCAGCTATGATCGTATCTCCAACCTGATCAATCAGCAGTCGCCACTTCCTTAGCCCCTAACCCACCAAATTGTCCTTAAAAACTCCAATCCCTGAATGCTTAGGGAGACTGATTTGAGTAATAATAAAACTCCAGTCCCCTGGGCAGTCAGCTCTGTGTGAATTACTCTTTCTCCATTGCAATTCCCCTGTCTTGATAAATCAGCTCTGTCTAGGCAGTGGGCAAGGTGAACCCACTGGGTGGTTACATTCTTATACAAAAGTATCTCTGGTCTTATTACTTGTACATATTTCCCATCTGCTAGAGCCACTCTGGAGGAATGGAACCAGCCTTAAACATTTTTTTTTTCCCTAATCCCTAGAGGGGTATAGAAATACTTAAAAGATCATTCTCCTAAAAACATGACTTTTTTTTGAGTAGGGGGTACATATTAGGTATTTGAACATCAAAGGGGTCTATGACCCCAAGATGTTTTTAAACAAGTTGATGGGTTTCACAAGTGAAACTTTACAACTCCCTAAATAAAAGAATATGCAGAAAAATTTTCTGCTTTTGCCTTTATTGATACACGTGTTCTACCCAGAATATGGTGTTGGATTAAACAGGGCAATAAAAATAATTCTGCAGTGGAATTCTACTTTTTTTATTGACAGACAAATGTGATTACTTTTGATACCATAAAGTTATTTGGAAAGCTGTATTAAACTGCATAAGTCCTAATATGTGCATGCCAAAGGTTAAAGGTCACAGAAAAAAATAACGTAAATACTATTGTGATTTTAATTTCCTAACTCTGGGGATTGAAGGACTCAGTATAACTTAGAATGCTTTCTACAATTTCACTTAACCTTTGAGTCTACATGTTAAGACCTGATTGTTTTCTATGTAGATGGAGGCTCATAAAAGCTCTACATCCTTCTCTTGGTAAGGATGCCATAAAAGTTTAGACTTGAGCCTATAGTCAACTTGGGTAAACTGGAAGAAAAGGCCCATATGATATACCCTTTTACGTGACTTTAAGGAATCAAAAACAATCACATTTGTCTGTCAATTGTCCCATAGCAAAGAGAGATGATGGGCAGGAGGAAGAGGACTTAGTTGTATAGTAGAACAGTAATTCAGTTTTACTTAGACCTGTAATACATTGTTCTTTCTACTGCTTCCCATTTCCAACTCCTAGTATGGACCCCGGAATGCAGTGCCTGAGCCTGACCCTAGGAGATCATCTTTAAACAGTTTTTTTGAACTTGCTCCATAAATTATTCTTGCCACACTTTGAATGTGGTGTAGGTGTCAACCCCTAAATAAGAAAGCAGGTTCTCACACAGGTGTATAATCAAAAGTAATTTTCCTTTTGCAACATTCCACAAAGAAAAATAGAACATTTGAAGTTGTTGAGATACTTTCATTGTCTTACATGGGTACTTTTGTGTGTGTGTGCATTGTCATATAAAGCTAGGACAGAGTTACAATAATAATATCCTGTCTCATTCCATTTTTTATTTTTGTGTTTTTCCCCCTGCCTGTCTCTTTTCAATATTCCCACCATCCTTTCATATTGCCTGCTGGGCCAATCTTTTCTGAAATCAAACAGTAGAATTTTCTTATTATGTTTCAAGTATTTTAAAGATGCTGCTGAATTTCCAGAGCCCCTTGCAACTAGGCAACAGTCCCCTGAGCTCCAGCCCACATGGGGAGAAAAAGAGTGTATAGCTCTGGGTCTTCAGAAATGATTCAAAGACTTGAGCCCTAGGATCTCCCCTTTGTGGACTTTGGCTTTGGGGATGAGTGAGCCCAAGGTGAGGATAAAGAAATGTCACAACGGAAGAGTCTGGAGTTTGTTTTCAGAAAATGTGGTGCAAATATATCTTCCAATGAAAAAAAGGGAAAATAGAAATATCAGCCTAAAAAATAAGCATTTGGGAAGGCAAATTTCTCATTCCCAGTTTCTGATTTGGGAATCAGAGCACAGCACGCTTTAAATTCAGAGCGGAGGGGCAAATGTTATGCTTTCGAAAGTCGGCAGAGGGAGGAAATGAGTCAGGGCAGCAGTGAGACTTGTGGGTTCCTTTGGCTGAGAATGTGGGCGCCTGTGATACTGGGAAGTTGAGGAAACAGGCCTAGAACATATTTCATGGATGGGGAGTTCAGAAAGCGTGCAGACACATTTTCCATAGAACAAGAGCGATTGGCCTTGTGGCCTGGATCATATTTTCCATATACTGCTGTCATTATTCACTGAGCTGGGATGATACAGCTATAATAGATACAGTGTATCTGCCTGACCCTCCAGGTAGTTGGCAGCATTCCCCTGTGCCTCACTATCCAATATAACCTGTAACAATGAAGACAAAAGCCAACCTTTATTATGGACTTAATATTCGTCAGGCACATCGGTAAGCACTTTGCATGCATTCTCTCACTGAATCTTCCCAGGAGTCTGATGAGCTAGATGCTACCACTATTACCACTTCACACATGAGGAGACTAGGTTGAAAAATATTAAGTAACTTGTCCATTCAGGTGCAGAATATAGAAAATAGATATGATTTCAGCAGGACCAGCTACATTTGCAAGGCCCCCTGTTAGAAAATTATTTCAAGATGGTAGTAGAAACATTAAAACAAGCATGGGGACCATCTAAGTGCAGGCCCTGTGCAGTTGTGCAGGTTGTACACCCATGAAGCTGGCCCTGGTTCCCAATCATGGCTATTAACCAAATTTCTGTTCGTTTTTCTCCTTGCCACCATTAATTATATTCATTATGCATCCTC